CACCCAAATTACATTATTCTCACGTTGTGAGCGTCTTATATATATATATACCAGACAAATATATATCTAGTAAATGCTAGGGCATTCACGAAGGAACAAGATACTTCTAGAAAATAGGTGGCGTCAAAATAGTCACGTGATCTCGCTGACGCAACAATATAATCCTGTCTGTTTTGGATTACGATGCCATTACCTTTATCCAGTTTTACAATGACGATATCTTTATTGGTTTTTAAAGTCAGTAAAACAGCTGCTTCTCTAGATATGTGATTGTAATCAGGAATACCTAGCTGCCAGATCATGCCTTTCAGAAGTAATAAGGCTTATAATAATTCAAATAACATAACTGTTTACCGTGTATAAAACGTTTAATCCATACCTTATTCGTTGTATGTCGCAGTCGACGAGAACTTTCTATTATTGTCAGAGTCCATCAGTTCGACTGGCTTATAACATATAAAGTATTAGTTATTATTTATATCATTCATTTATAAGACAACAAGTGTAATGTTTGGGTGCAGTTGAAGGAGCATAATGTTTAGTAGCACAACAAACAAAATACTGTTAAAATTGCTGCTACACACTCTTCTTATTTGAAATTTTATTAGTCCAGTAAAAATTATTGTGACTTAAATTATTATCAGTATTAGTTAATGTAATATTATATATATATATTATTACTAAAAAAAATAGGTTTCGCTTTATCGTAATTTTAGAAACTATGATAAATATATACACCATTACTCTGTTAAATGACAATATAAACTAACCAAATCAATGTGTACTACTGACAACTATCAATCTGCCACAAAAAGCACTAATAATATTTATAACGAGAAAATGTTTAAATAAGAATAATTAAGGAAACTAATATTAAAACTGTGTATAGCACATTCATAAAGTGCTACTTTCTTCATTTTAACTTGCACTAACAAACGTAAACTCGTACTATCTTAATGTTTCAAATGCAGGTACATCGTATGTTAGTATAGCGTACGTCCGTCAATTACAAACAACACGTTCATGTGCAATAGAAAATATTGGTTATTATAACTGCAGATGTTAAGCATACTCTACTCCTATGCTTCTGTTATAAATGTGTTACTTTTAAATTTCGTCACAATTATATATGATACAATTTTTCTTCATGTTTAACACTATAGATTTGCAATCTTGATAAAAGAGTTAGCACAAAGGCTCACATATGAAGTGTAATAAACTTAAAGTAAGACCGAAAACTCGAGCGCTTTCGAATAGGTGACTATTATTCTTCAGGAGAACATATATTTACAAATATTTCCAATCGTGTACCTATTATACAATTAAGAATCTTCTTAGCAATTGAAGCTGAGAAGACTAAAGTTTGGAAATAAGTGTAATCGCTGCTTTTTATGAACAATTGGTTAATGATAAAAATTATAGGTACATGAAACAAAACTCTTAAAATATTATTAATTAATCATGGTAGTCTATACATAATTAAAAATGACCAAGAAATTTTAATAATGAAATTTAGTATCTAAAAACTATCGATGGTTAAAAAATGCTTCAGGATTTGTATTTATAATTTTTTAGGTCTATTGTTTTAATCTGCGTGTAACAAAACTAAAACAAATCAATATTATTATTTTTAAAATTAAAATTATTATATATATATCCTCCCAATCTTGTCTTAATATTTTGATGAGCTGGAGGTTGTTCCCAAACGTAATAGCCGGCCTACTTACGTATTTCATTAAGTTTGTGGTACTTCAAACGTCGAAAATGGCTTCTGCTATTAGTATTAATGTTAAACAGCGGGAGTTTTTAAGCAAAGCAGAAGATATTGCAGATCAGGTAAAGCTATTTTATTTTTTAAATGTTTTTCATGCCTTATATAAAAGTTATTGTGTAAAACCTTAAAGTTAGCTAAAAATTAAGAAATTATGCTACTTGACTAAAAATGACCAGCAGCAACACGTGAGTGACGTGTTGCCACGACAGCGTAAGTAAAAGTTAGGCTAAAGTAATGAAATTAAAATGCATAAATAAAGTGGCGGTAATTGAAAGTTTGATTGTAATTAACAGTAAGTTTACTTAATAGTCATATTTGTTTTTGTATTATAATTTATGATATCAATTATAAAGTGACAGTGAACTTACACTATATTTTGCTTTTTCTAGTCATTTTTCTCTTGACTTTTCTAGTTTTCTATTATCATCCTATCACTGACGTCGATAACGAGTAACGTTCACATAAAATTAAAGCCATAATGAAAGGCATTTTTATTTTAACATGTGGCATTAAAAACACATCAGTACATCATTTAAATTTTTATCGTCTTCTGCATGCATGCATATGACATTAAAATAACTTTGCTTATAACTTAGTAGTCAATACATGTAGATTATTCATATGCAGACAAAAATATGGGTGTCAAGAGTTCCAAACAAGAAATGATGAAACACACAAGTGTATTGTTATTATTGTGTATCATATACATGTACAATGTATGCATGCTAAATAGCATAGGTTTTGTACTTTCTTTTTTACATTTTAAAGTATTTTATGTAACAGTTATGAAATTATTTAAGTAAAAGTTTAAGATATTATTTGTGTAAAAATATTAAGTACAAAAAAATACCAATCTTATATGATATATTTTGATGTAATGTAGCGTTGATTAATTTTTAATTTAAACTGAACTTCTGAATAATGTCTAGAAAAAGTTTCTACATCAAGTTGTTCCAACATCATAGCTATGTTATATATGCTTTTTTTTTCCGTAAGTAAGGAACTGCATTGTAGATTGGTATTAATCTGTGAGAAGTAATATTTAAAGGAAATATAATTTATAAAGACCTTTCTAAAATGCAAAAGTTTATAGTAACATCCATCTTTTATTTGTACTCGCTGTCCAATTTTTACTGATATGGAGAGACTTTATGTTACCAGTGAGGTTTATTAAGTTCAATTTCTCTTAGATGAAGTTCTTATATTCTAGTTAGCTGTCCTGTTGTTCAAATTGTACCTTGGCCTTTTACCATTTGGAAACATGAATTACTTTCATTAATATGTATTTTATCCATGGGCAAAAAATACACAAGCATAAAGTATCTGTACATAAGACTCCGTAATCTCTTCAGATGCATATTTTTGTAGTGGCATATAAATATATATAAGTTTTATTGTGTAATGTAATATACTTTACACAGGAGACTATAGGAATAAAGATGAAATAGATACCCACTTTTAAAGAGAAGGCAATTATCATAAGTGTCCTTAGGATGTTTGTAATAAAAACTCAGTTGGGAAACATTAGTGAAAGGTAATGAATTAGTTAGCCACATTCTAAGACACAACAGGAATATGAATACTTTTATTATAATAGTTTTACTTCCAAATACAAAAGGTCAGGCAGTTGTGCTACATGCATTACCAAATATTTCCTTAAAATTTTAAACAGAATAATAATTTAGCAAAATTTATTTATGTTTTCTTCACCAACTTCTGGTGAGGAGAAATAAGAAATATATTGAAGGCTTTATCTGTTGTTCATATCCACTCCTCTTGTTTAGACCTGTTTTGGGGAATATCACCACATCAGCAACTTTGGGCCTGATCAAAATTATGTTGTAGCTGTATATTTAATTCATGTAAAATATTTTTCTAAAATACTCCACTTACTGCTTGACCTCTGGTTAATTTACTAGTAGTAATAATACTGTTCCAAAATCCCTACAGTATATTGCAGGCAAAATTGAAGAAGAAAACAATCATGTTTATGTAATGAAACATATTTATCACACTAATAGCTAGTACACAAAGATCTTAAAGATGGGCTAGGTTTCTGTTAAGACAGTTTCTAATTTCTAATAGGGTGATTGATTTATTGACTGAGTTGTGGTCAGTGGTACTACAGGCCAGCACATTACAGGAGAAAGAATGTTGACTATAATTCCGAATCTACTGATACAAAATGTGGCAAGATTTTGGTAACATATATAAGTCTGTTCTACACAAAAAAATCAGATTTGTTTCAAAAGTATTTGTGCTTAAAATATGTCTGTGAAATACCAATACTAGTTTGACTTTTTGTTTTCCATTGTACAGTTTGTATATTGCAGTTGCACAACCTATATAACCTCTTCAGTGTCCCTCTATATTGTACCTGGTTGAATGGCACTATGAAAAGTAGTAGCATATGCACTTTGACCTTCACCTGCATACATAGGATTAAGTAATCCATTAATATGCCAGTTACTTAACATAAAATTCACTCATGTGATTAGATTTTGGATAGTCAGTCTGATATTCATATAGTGCTTATAATCATCAGTAGAAAGGGTTTGAAACATCTCTCAATTCAAAATTTATGGTACACTGAGAGTATTGAGTTTTTTTTTTGGTAAAGGTAGTTAGCACAAAGGATCACATATAAAGTGTTATAGACTTAAAATAAGACCCAAAACTCGAGCACTTTCGAATAGTTGACTATTCCTGAGACTGCCAAGG